TTGGGTGTATTACCTGTTCGTTGTCATCACTTCTGAAATGCTTCCTGTTCTTTTTCTCTGGGTCCATGGTCCACCCGGCCGGACTCCGTACATTTTCGGTCACATCCACTCCGGGATCCAAGGGAGTTGTTCCTTCAGGCTGTGTAGAGTAAAACTGTAAATCCTTGCCAAGCGGCCTCAGTGCCCAGGTTTAACCGGGGCTTTTAACACCCGGTAGGCAGCCTTGTGGTCCTGCGGGTAGCAAGATGCCTTCAAATAACATCATGATGATGATGATGATGATGATGATGATGATGATGATGATGGATTCCTCCATCGCCCACCCCTATCCCACAAGTCCCCACCTTACCCCTCAAGTTCCTCAACCCAATTTTGCTAACCAAAACATAAAAGAGCTTGGATTTGGGCAGAACTTGGTGGGGGCACACCCGGAAGGCAGCCTTGTGGTCCTGCGGGTCGCAAGATGCCCTCAAATAAAATGATGATGATGATGATGATTTTTTCCTCCATCGCCCACCCCTAGCCCCCAACTCCCCACCTTACCCCTCCTTAACCCAATTTTGCTAACCGAAACGTAACAGAGCTTCGGGCAGAACTTGGTGGGGGCAGAGATGCCCCACCATCTGAAACAAAAAAACAAGAAAAGAAGGGTGGGAATTTTTGCGTGCCTGGCATACCCTGGGTGTTTGGATGGCTGTGGACCTGCACGAATGACCAACCGGGCGCAATGGTAATGGAGCCGGAGTGTCCTTTTTTTTTTTTCTTTTTTTTTTATAAAGAAAGCTGAAGTTGTAATATATGAACAATCAATGAGGACGGGAATTCCTCAACTCTCAACGCAGATAGTGCTGGGGCCATTGCCCAGGTTTGGCTTGTGCTGGAAACCGGGTCCAGCGTCAATTTTTTGAATAATGTAATGACCCGCCATAACACGGACTGAGAACACTGCTGATTTCTGAGTTCTGCTGCTGGAATGGATACCTTGCTGAGATTCCTGCATTCTGTCGAGTTTTCTAAGTCTGTGTGTGCATGCGTGCTTGATGGTCTGCGTGCCTGTCTGAGTGCTTGTCGGCCTGAATGTGTGTGACCTGCAAGGGTACTTGCTTGCTTGGGAGGCCCTGTAGGGCCGGTACTTACCTGTGTCGGTGACTTTGAGGGTTGCAGCGTGAAAAACACTCAAGTAGCTGGGGTAGGCCCGTGACACTTAGAGCAGCGGGAAAAACACTCAAGTAGCAGGTAGGCCGGTACCACTCTAGTAGTGGTAGAAGTGTCGGGTACTCGAGGCCGAGCAGAAGAAGACAAAAATTGGCATTTTTAGAGGCCCAGTAGCTGTAGGCTAGAGGTAGGCCGGGACCAGTCCAAGTAGCCTGAGTCTAGGGCCTGTAAGGACGATATCAGAGCCTGCAATGATGTTTCCCTCCGAAAGGGAGGAGGTACCGGTTGGCCTGGAAGTCAGTGCCCAAGAGGCAAGGAGGCCATTATATCTCCAGGAGGAGTGAGTAGCTCCTCCTCATTTGCGGTATGCAAGTTTGGACATCGTGCTGCTTGAGCAAGCACCAGCCTTCAGAGCGCTCGAGCAGGGAGAGCAGCGCTAGGAGGAAGAAGGAGGCTATGGTGGAGCTCTACCCGTAGGAGGAGGAAGGAGAGGGAGACTAGGAGGGAGAGAGGTGAGGTGCCTACCTGGCGATGGTGGCCACCATCTTCATCACCTTGTTAGGCGCTGCATCAGGAAGGCCCCAGTGGGGTTGCGCGGCACCAAGAAGCTTCGAAGCAGAGTCAGGCATGGGACTATCTTGGACTTGCCGGGGGGATAAGAACCGGACTGATGCTCCCCAGAATGGAAAAGGAGCCACAAGAAGGTCAAAGTTCATCTGACATGCTAATTGGGATACATATAAAGATGCTGTTTGAGAAAGGTGGTTCCACATATGATCACAATTGACTATACCTATTTCCCATTCCCAATGAAAACGAAGTTGTAATAACAAGTTCAAAGTCTTTTTCTGTTAAAAAAATCCAATGCTTTTATTAATTCATTTTTACTCCTACTAAAATACTCGATAATGATAAAAAATCGATTAAATCTAAGACATCCTGAAAGCTGTATGCTTTGAAAAAAGCTTGTACAGTTTGGGAAGAGAGGAAAGAAGAAGAAGAAGACGAAGAAAGAAAGAAGAAGGAGAAGAAGAAGAAGAAGAAGAAGAAGAAGAAGAAGAAGAAGAAGAAGAAGAAGAAGAAGAAGAAGAAGAAAGAAAGAAGAAGAAGAAGATGTACAGCAGCAAAGACCAATGATAATTCCCTTCTTCTTCACCAACCACTCTCCTCCTCCTTTTCTGATCCCCTCTTATTCAAACAATAAATAATAATAATAATGTTGAATGGCTGAACCAGAATCAATGTCCGAATCCCTCTTCTACTGCAGGCACCACATGAGGTCCACCATAGTCATGGCCACTCTTCCCCTTCCTTCTCCAAGGCCGAGGCTACGGTGGACTACCAGGGCCTTGCCCTGCTGTGCGAAGGGCAACACAAATGGAGGCCCAGAAGACGGCATTGATTACTTCCTTGAAGGAGGATGTACCGATCTTCAACCCTGCTTAAGTTAGCCTATTCTAGGCTGTTATTTTCCTTAGAAGCTATGAGTGTCTGCTACTTGACTTTGCTGGAAATTTCCAGTCTCTTTTCTGTCTGTTCCTCACTGTCGATTGGACTTGCGGCGTGTCTGTGTTTTCCCGGGACTGTGGGTGTGACGGACCCCTTTGCTCTAATTCCGGAATCCTTTACGGACCCCACCTGCTTGGATGAACTGGGTGGGTAAAAGAAGGGGGAAGAAACAAAGGAAAAGAGAAGTCTGACCTCAGGTCTGATCTGTGCTCGGCCTGAGCAGCCAGAATCTGGCCTTGTCTTTGAATTTGGCTAGGGTTCACCTGGGGGGGGGTTGTAAATGAGGATTTGACCACCACACCATCCCAGCTTCTCTTTTCTGATGCGGATTTCTGCCACGTGCCCAACAAGTAATGAGCCCCGACCGGCACGCCAGCCTTTTCGGTCTGGCGGGCCTGATCGGCGATTTTGTGGTAGTTAACCCTGTTGGAACAAGACAGCTGGGAAACGTACTGGTGGTTTGAATGGCTGCAAAGGGCTTAAAAGTTAAAACTTCTTCTTCTTCTTCTTCTTCTTCTTCTTTTTTTTTTTTTTTCCCTTCTTTTTAATAAACACGCCCCCACCAGTGTTAGTGGTGCTAAAGGGGTTAAAACTTAAAAGTTGTGTACCGTAATTTGATTTTCCTATTTTATGGTTTGAGAATTCATTAGTCAGCGCAACCAAAATTTATTTTGTTTTCAAAATTATAATTTTGTGCCTCGGTCTTCCGGGGAGTTTTGCACGGACCTGGCAGACTGGGCTGGCTGGCAGTCCGAGCCAGCGCTGAAGCCCAGCTTGGGAACCTGGGTAGGAGGCAATACCGTGGTTCATTCTCTGCTTATTCTGTGTGGCAACGCATAGGACTGTCTACTGCATATATATGGATTTTAAAGTTAGTACATCGGTAGACCCAAAAAAAAAACAAAAAAACGTTTGCCTATCCCCTTACCCAAGTTTGTCCTGAGTCCTGATCTTAGCAGTGGCAAGCCAGAAAAAAAAAAAAAAAAAAAAAAGTTGGTCGACGTGCAATCGTCACTCTATGGGCTGTGCCATCCAACGAACCCTGATGAGATGCGGGATAGGGAATGTCTCAAAGTTCTGACCCTTTTTTTTTTTTTTTTTTTTTTTTTTTGCATGACACATTTTTTTTGTAGTAAAGGGAAAGCCAGAAAGAGAACAAAAAAAAAAAAAAAAAAACAAAAAAAAAAAAAAAAAACAAAAAAAAACCTGTTGTGATTGCGGAATTACAGGTTAAAAAAAAAATTAAAGAGGTAATCAGTAACTACGGCCGTGTGTCAAAATCCAAGTTTCGAATGAAAACTCGTTTTGCAGTTTAGTCATATCCTGAGTTTTAAATACTGTAAGAGAACTCATGCCGCTGTGTCACACACACTGCGAGTTCCTATAAGCACACTTAAAACACCAGTACTTGGGCACTTTGAAGCGGCGTGGGCTGTCGATACGATTTATCGACGGCCCGCCGGTAGCGAAATTCTCGTAGCGTTAACGCTAAGGCGTCGCCCAAGTACTGGTGGTTTAAGTCAAGGCCACGTCGTGGCGTGGCCGAGACATCTTGGCCGTGCCCCGGGCAAGAATGGCCAGGGCAGGCTGGAATCTGGGCCAAGTCACGACCAGGTTCACTTTGGGTGTGGCCAAGGTACGAGAAGACAGGGCAGGCCTGAATCCCCCCCAAATGATGGCGAGGTTCAGACGGTACTACGGTCAGGCCCCCTCTTGGCCTAGTTTGACAAACATGGCCACTGACACAACTGGTTCGCGAACTGAGATCGTCTTGCAATTGAAATTTGAAACTCAGGCTGCAACTGAAGTGCAAAAACGAGTTTGCATTGCACATCAGTTTCAAAAGTATGCCGCGGCCCTACGGTAGTTATTTCAAAACTAAAACTGCTAAAGGGGGGCAATTGGAAAAGGCCATCTCATTCATTACACCAGGTTGCTAGCTGTAGTCAAGTAGAAGTAAAAGCAAACCCTTTGGTCTCCCACTGCCCAATTGTTTTGCAGTGTTTCAGAATGGTAGGTGATGATGCTATAGGGGGGGGGGGGGGGGCCCTTCACCGGAGGGGGGGTTTTTTTTTTTTTTTTTTTTCCCCCCAGAACAAGAGACGCTTCGAGTGACGAGAGTCCGTTGATTGTCGAAATACTGTTCTCTCTTCACATCCAAATCAGTGCTTTGCATCTATTGATTGATGTGTTTCTTAAATTTTCTTTCTTTCTTTCTTTCTTTTTTTTTTTTTTTCTGTTTTCTTTTTTCTTTGTTTTTGCCGATATTTTATTATTTTTCATCTTCCTTCTGGTGCATTATTTTCAATTTATTGCCTGTATGTCCAGGTGGAGCTATGTTTATGGAACAGAACCGATTGACCAGACATGCATGAGGAGCTTTGCACTCTGAACAGTGCCAATGTTAGTTCTCTTCGTCCTCCTCCTCCACCTCCTCCTCCTCCTTCTCCTTTGTCTGGTTGTAGTCCTACCATCTTTACCTGAATAGAATGCCCGGTCATTATATCTGTACTTGGGGCAACTTTCAGTCTAGATGCAGCAATAATGACCAGGTGTTCTATTCGGATGAAAACAAAACGGTAGCTGAATTGCAGACAAGCTGCTCCTCTTTTGAAGGATTCTGGCAAGTCCGTACTGCTGCATTTACAAGCATGTAAGTAGGATGTCAACCACAATTATAAAGAGGTCCTGTCAGTGTCTTGGAACACCACATGACCTGTGAAACTACACCTCCCTACCTACCATGATAGAGCCTGTGAGTGTGGCCCCCTCGTTATGGTACAACCTCAACTGTCGCGACCTGAACGAGCGCCAGAAGGGATACAGAGGCACAGTTTCAACATGAGGACTGAGGGTCCCGTCGCATACATCTAACATTAAACAATTGGATGAAAAGTTGCCATTGCACTGGACCCTAATCCCATTTCCTGGACCACCAATGTGAAAGCGACAAAGGGCCTCGCTGCACTACTCTCCAAGTGTGCAAAATGGGACAGAATCCACCGCTAGAACATGGAAAGATACACTGCCATCTCTTTTGTCTTTTGTGCATGTGGAGAGTAGTGCAGCGAGGCCCAAAGACGTTTTAAGGAAACATCCTTACGGTGTTAGGACGTTACAGCCATTTTTGTAAGGAAACGTAAGGTACCTCCCGAATGTGCCTTACATAAAGGACCTTAAACCACCAGTCTCCCAGGGGGTCGTAGGCCCCCTATGGGGAGGCTCTGATGCAAATGCATATGGACCCACGAGGCACAACGATTCAGCCACCGCGTTAACGGACTAAAAACGTGGAGGTACTGGTGGTTTAAACCACCAGTGCATGGCCCCAGCCAACTTCAGTATCCCAGTCAAGCCTCTCTGAAAAAATCGGACGCTCGTTAAGAGTAAATTGGAACGCTCGTTAAGAGTAAATTGGAAAGGGGGAAAAGGTATCACTTGTACCCCAAGTTTGAAAACCGTCAATGCATAGGAGGGAGGGATCAGTTTTCCCAAAGTAGGCCACCATTAGATGGAGCAGCCCGACAGATAAGCCCTCAATTCAGACGGTTCTCTTACCAGCGCCAGAATAGAGGCCTTACGCAAGGGCTATTCTAGAAAAAAAGGAAAAAAAAAGGAAAACGGGCAAAGGTGTCACTTGCACCCGAAGTTGAAAGCCCCCATTACATAGGAGGGACCCCTTTTTACGAAAGCAGTGACTACAGCAGGCCCTGGCTTCCTCCTCTTCGGCTGCCTGAGCTCGGCAGATCAGATCCGGAGTTAGTGGTTATTTAAGCTGCCAGTAGCCCTGAGCAGTCGCAGTTAACTGGTATCTGTGCAGAAAGGGTACTATTATTAGTCAGTTGCACCATTGTACTGAAGGGGTTGTGCACGAGCAGCACCTGAAGATGTACTAATTGTTTCTGTCGGTGGGATTAAACTACCAGTACGTTTCATGGTAACCGTCCGGACGTCCGGACTGGGTTCCAGACAGTCCGGTGTCCGGTGTCCGGTCCTTATGTCCGGATGGAGGTCCCTGGGGCAAAAAAAAAATAAAAAAAAAATGGGGTGGCCCAGGACGTTTATCGGGTCCTGGCCGCCCCTCGAAAAATAACGGGGTGATTTTTCGGTGTCTTTGCACCCCACCGGACAGGGCCTAGAGGTCCGGACACAAGACACTGCAGGTTTTTGGGGTGGCGGGTTTCGCACAGGCCAGAGCAATTTCAAAGCGGCCGTTTCGACGTGGCGCCCGCCGCTGCTGCCTGCTGGGGGGGGGGGGGGGGGGGGGGGGGGG